TTCCCTTCCTACTCTGGGCCTCGGCACCCCGAGGCCTCACTGTTTATGTCATACGACCGACCGTGACCTTCTGAGGGAGGCCCGGAGGGAAAGGGTCACCAGCACAGCCATCTGCTGATCGGGACCCTCAGCACGGCCCTGCCTCGCTCCAGGCTGGCACCCCGCTGAAGCAGCTGCAGGCCAGGAGACCCAGGGTCCTGTCCCAGCTCTGCGGGGCCCCCTGCGTGAGCCCGACATGCCACCCTCCTCTCGGCCTCAGCCTCCCTCTGGGAAACGAGGAGGCGCCACCAGCACCTCTGAGCCCCTGGTTCCTGGGAAACAACCTATGCAGAGCCTGGGGCCTGGGCGGCAGGTAAAGACTAAGGAGGTCAAGCCCCTGCCCCGGGTCTGCCCACCCCCAAGTTCCAAGTCTCTGAGGCGAAGGCTTCGGTGGGCCTCGCCTGGGGCCTCAGGACCAGGCAGGGCCGGCCCCTCTCCTTGTTAGAAAACGCGGCCCAGAGAGGTTGAGGGGCTTTCCCCAGGGCGCACAGCACCAGCCAGAGGCCCCAGCCTGCCCTGCGCACCAACAGACCCTCCAGGTGAGGCCACACTACGTGCCGTGAGCCTGCCTGCGGGGCCGCCGTCCAGCCTGACCTCTGTGGAGTGCTCCTCTGCTGGGCATGGTCCTAGGCCCCTCGCAAGCCCCCCTCTACCTGATCAAAACCCTGGGAGGCAGGCGCGGGGACCACACTGCGCCCCCATTTTGCAGAGGAGAGAACGGAGGCACAAGGAGGTGTGGGGATACGCCCCAAGAAGGATCTCGGTGAGCAGACCCGGGAGCAGACCCCGCAGCCCGCCCGGTGAGGCCTCCGACCATGACCTCATTGGCCCGACCTCCAACCCCGGGGCTGCCCCACGCACTGGCAGCAGGGCCTGGAGACTTTGGGGTGGGAGAGGACCCCCCCCCCCATGCACACCCGGCTGGGAGGGACACTGAGGCCCCGAGGAGGGCGGGGAGGAGGAGGAAGGTGGAAAGGAAGGGCAGGCAGCTCGTGGGGCGGAGCCGTCCCGTTAATGATTCAGTTAATGATTTCTGCTCCTCCTTATCGGGAGGGCAAAGTCCAAGGGCAGCAGCCAATCAGGGGCCCCGTTGGGCTGCTACCCAGCAGCCTCTGCTGTTAGGGGCCCCCCAAGTCCTGTAAGCCCTTGGGAGCCAGGGAGTGGGGGCCAGGTGCCCGGGAGGAGGCCGTTCTGCCCGGAGCGACCTGTCTTTCTCCCAAACAGCCTGCTTGGCCCGGCTCAGACCCAGGGACCCTCTGCCAGGCCCCAGGCTCAGGAGCCGGCCAGGGCCAGCAGGTGGGACTCGGCTCCTCTCCCCTCGGCCCTCCTGGGGTGCCCCCACCCCGCCTTTGTTCACACAGTCATTGTTGCTTCCCTGAGAACACTTCCTGCCCCCCCACCCCCGTGGTGCTGGGTGTGGGGGACAAGGAGATGAGTCAGCCCCCCCTTTCCCTCCAGCTGCACTCAGGACCGAGGGGGGTGGGGCTGGGACAGGAGTCCCCAGGGGCGCTGGGTGGGCCTAGGAGGCAGGTCCCTTCATCTCCTTACACGTCAGGGGTTTGGCTGCCTCCCTCTCCACCTGCTCCTGGGGGCGCAGTACCACCCCCCCTCCCCCAGCTCAGCCCCAGCCTCCCGTCCAGGCGGGGTCCCCTCCTACAGTCACAGGTGGTCTCCCCGAGGCCGCCTCCTGCCCCGCGGAGGCACCCCTAGGCCCTGGGGAGAGCGGGGGCTGTCGGCTCTGCCTCACACTGGCCACCCCCCTTCTGTCGGCCCCACGGCAGGGCTGGGTGGAGGGTGGCTCTCCAACCAGGGTCTGGGTGCTCTGGAGGCCTGGGGAGGGGAGGGGCGGGGGGCAGGCCGTGTCTCCAGGGCAGAGATCTCACCAGAGGACAAAGGCAGAAAGAGGCAAGAGCGTCTGTCTCTGTTTGGCGGCTAGAGAGTCCCGTGGGAAGTCCCCTCTCTGGTCCGGCACACCTGCTTGCCCCGGAGGGCGGTGAGGCCGAGAGGAGGGGGTGCCAGGCCAGGGCCCCGGCAGGTCTGGGAAGAGGGAAATGCTCAGCTCCCACCTCCAGGCCTGGGGGCTGCATGGAGGCCGCAGCCTCTCAGAAGCTCCCCTGGTCTCCCTGGCTTCCCTCGCATCCGCCTGCGCCTGAGCTGCTCACTCAAGCCCACTTGCCCCCCAAGTCAGGGCCAGCCCCCCTTTCCCAATCCCGCCCCTTCCTGGGCCGGGAGGAGGCTCATCAGAGCTGAAGGGACCCTCAGCTCCGTGCCACCCCTCCTGCCCTGTCGGTGGGGACAGGGCCCAGAGAGGGCGAGCGTTCCGCCCGAGGTCACACAGCTCTCATGGCCGAGCTTCACCAGAGCTTCTAAGGTCCCACTGGGACCTCTGGCCGCCCTGCCCCGTCCCTCACCAGGCTCTGGGCATTCAAGGGCCCGGCCGGTCGCTCAAAGCTCTGAGCCACCGCGGCCCTGTTACCTGCTGGGAGCCAGTGCCTCCTCTCTGCGGCCTGTGGGCGCCCAGAGCCTCCTTCCAGGGGATTAGCAGGGGGGTCACGGGGTCCCAGCTGTACCAGCCTTGAGGGGCCGCCCTGCCCCAGCCTCCCACCCGAGGCCCAAAGCGCCTGAGCCCTTGGCCCACCGCCCTGGGGCGGGCACAGCGTGGCCCGCCCGCATGGGCAGGACCAGGACATAGGCCTGCTGTGCCCAGAGAGTGGGCCATGCCAGGCGAGGGCCCCATGCTCCCCAGAGAAGAAAGCAGGGGAGAGGCCACGGCCGCGCAGGGACAGGTGAGAACGCGGGCGCCCCAGCCCCCCTGTCGGCGGGAGCACACGCTGTGCCCACAATCAGCCCACGGCCCAGGCGCGAGGCCCCGCTCCCGCCCCGCCCTTCCACCGTGCACCCACCAGCACGCCCAGGCCCGCGCTCCCCGGAGCTCCCTCACACCCACGCCAGGTCCACACTCCGCTGCCCCGCCCGGCCGGCCCCTCCCCCCGGGCCCCGGAGACCCCTGCCCTCGGCGCCCACCCCACCTTCCCCGGCTCGGCCTCAGGGAGCGCGCTCCCGCCCGGCTCCTCGCCCCCCCACGGCAGCCCACACCTCCCTGCTCCCCACAGACATTCTTGAGTCTCCTCTTATCTCTCCGAAGGAGCAGCACAGCCTCCCGCCAGGCCGCCGCATGGCTGAGCCGTGGCGTCAGCCCCCACCCCACCCCCCGCCCAAAGCCAGGAGGGAAAGTTTGGCTCAGGAGCCAGGGAGCCAGGCCAGCCGGGCCCATCCCTCCGCCGGGGCCCAGCCGCTGGGGGATATCTGCAGGAAGCAGGGGGGCTCAGGGCACCCCCAAAAGAGTACCTTCCAAGCCAGGCCTAGTCGCCTCCTCCTGACTCCCCAGGAATCCCCCCGCCCCCCATCAAGCCCCCCGAAGGCTCCTAAAGGGTGAGCAGTGTCTGGGGAGAATGAGCACCCCTGGGGCTGATGGGGCCCAACCCTTCCGTCTGATCTAGGGAACGGGACATGGTGGGTCCAGGTGTGGCCAGCATCCCAGCGGGGGGACCCAAGGCCTGGGGGTGCCCTTGCCCGGCCTGCGCAGCAAGCAGGAGGGGGCAGAGGGAGAAACGGAGTCAGAGAAGGGCTGTCTTTTCTCCCTCATGGGGCCCTGGATCTGGGCGCTGGGCTTGAAACTGAGGTCCTGATTCCAGGCCCCTCCGGGGGGCAGGTTCACACCAATGGAAGTTTCTGGATCATTGAGTACTGGGTGCCGAATGCGCTGGGGAGCAGGGTGGAGGCTTAGGGACTGGGGAGAGGGTAGGCCAGAGGCTGGGCTCCCCGAGTTGGTGGAGAGCGTCTGGCCAGATGCTCAGGGAGGGTCTGAGCCGCAGGGAAGCTGGGACATGCCAGCCTGCACCTCGGCCCCCGCCCCCCTCAGCCCCATCCCTCTTGAATCCAGCACCCCTGGAAGTGGGGCAGGCTACCCTGGAAATGGAGAGGGGAGGGGTCAGATGCATGAGACCCCAACACCATTGTGTGTGAGTGTGTGTGGGGGGGAGTATTGTAAGGTGTGTGTAGACCCCAGCCCTGGAGGGTCCTGACAGGGTCAAGGTGAGGGGGGTGGGGTCAGAGCAGGCAAAGCTCCAGGGATAAGGGAGGGGGGGCAGAATCCTGAGGAGCCTGGGGGGGGGCTGGCAGGATGCAGGTCACAGCTTTGGGAGGGTCTCCCCGTGGAAAGGGTTGGCAGTAGGGACACCAGCTCAAGGGGGTCCCAGCCCAAGGAGCGTGTTCGGGGGTGGGGGTGGGGGTTGGGAGCCCAACCCGCTAAGGATGCTGGGCAAGGGGTCCCAGCCTGAGCAGCGGAGGGGGAGCTGCTGAGGGGAACTGCAGCCTTGGGGGAGGGAGCATCCTTGCAGAAGGGGGTGGCAGTCTTGAAGGGGGTCCCAGTCTCCAGGGAGTGAGTGGGAAGGTCCCTGGGGTCTGGGCACCGGGTTTCACCTGGGCCGTGTGGGTGGTGATGTGGGGGGCAAGCTGAAGGCACACAGTGGGCGCATCTCTGCGGTGGTCCCAGCCTCTGGGGAGGGGGACGCTAGGAGCTGGGCTGCCAGCCTGAGACACGGAAGGTTCCAGCAAGTGTTCTGGGGGTCCCGGCCTGGGGGAGGCTCCAGAGAAGCACAGGAGGGGGTCCCCAGACTCTGGGTTGGAGGTGTCCGAATTTGGGGGCTGGGGGTACTGCAGGTCCCGGCAGGTATGGAGGAGGACGGAGCATGGACGGGGACACCACTCCAAAGAAGTTGTGTGTTGGGGGCCGGGAGCCGGGAGCCCAGCTCGGAGGAGGTGGGCAGTGACCCCTGGAGGCTGCGCCAGCCTGCAGGGGCCCCAGCCCAGAGGAGGCGCCCCGGGGGTTCCCAGAGGTGCAGGCAGGTCGGGGTCCCAGTCCCCGGGAGGCGAGAGGGGTTCCCGGCGCGGTCCCTCACCTTCGAAGAAGCGCTGCAGCGCCTCCGTCTCGTCCACCACCTCCATGGCGCCCGCCCGCCGCGCTCCGCCGGCCCCGCTACAGCCGGGCCCCGGGCCGCGGCATCGCCGGCGGCCGCGCGACAGTCCGGCTCCGCTCCCGCTGCCGCCGACCGTCCGGCCGCCGCTGCCCGCTCGTCCCCGTCCGCGCCGCCTGGCCCGGCCCCCGCCCGCCCCGCGCCCCGCGCCCCGCCCGCCCGCCGCGCCCGGCGCCCCCTGCCGGCCGGCCCGCGCCGCAGCCCCGGCGGGACGCGCGGCTCCCGGGCGGCGGGCTAGGGGTCCTCCCCGGGGCGGGGTGCGCGGGGTGCGCGCGCCCTGGCCTCGTGGGGGGATGGAAGGGCGTGCGGGCCGGGCTGGGTGCGCCGCGCCTGGGGCTGTCAGCGGCCACTCCTTGTCCCGCAGTCCTCGTCCTCCCCTCGGACGGGGAAGGTGGGGGAGAGGGGGAGGAAGGCAGGGAGCACAGGATTCTGAATCAGGTTTTCAGACCCAAACCCCAGAGACACCCCCATTTCCTCTCGTCACCCCAGCCCCGCAGCAGGGACCATGCCTGAGGTTAGGGACCAGGTGTGAGCCCGGCCTGTGCGCCCAGCAAACGGCGTTGGAGAGGAAACTGAGGCTCAGGGCCCGCGCGGTCCCCTGTGCCGGAGCGCTGGGGCAGGTTCCTGTGATGACGGACAGTCCCCTGGGCTGGCCCTGGTGGCCGCTGGGCAGAGATGTGGCTGTTGGGGTGGCCCAGGAGCCGCCTTGCTGTTTTGTGTCGTAACAGGTTCAGGTCTCAGTAGGCGAGTGTGGGTGGCTACAGCGTTGGGCAGCACAGGTCCAAGCCAGTGGTCGGCAAACGGCGGCTCGAGAGTCACATGCGGCTCTTTGGCACCTTGAGTTTTTAGCAAAGGCCAGCTTAGGAGTACCCTAATTAAGCTAATAACGATGTACCTAGCTTAGGTTTAAAAAATGTGGCTCTCCAAAGAAATTTCAGTCTTTGTCCTGTTGATATTTGGCTCTGTTGACTAATGAGTTTGCCGACCGCTGGTCTAAGCGTTTCAAGGTAATGAAGTCACTGCCAGCGTCCAGAGCCAGACCCTGAGACCCTGGACGCTGCCCTCGGTCACTGTCACCCTGGGTGGTGGGATGAGGCTGGGGGCTTCCCTCCTGGGGAGTCCTGGGTAAACCCGCCTCTCACCTTTTCCCTCCCCCTTTGGGCGCTTCTTCATCTCTCCTGTGCTACTGCACAGCCCCCTCCTCGCTGATCCCCGCAATCCTTCCAGATCACTTTAAAAAAACGCAAATCAGATCATGCCACTCCTTTGCCAAAACCCGTGGTCTCCTTTGCACTCACAGCAATCTCTAAACCTCTTGCCCTGGCTCCCAAGGCCTCGTCAGGTCTGCCCTGTCCGGACCACCGACCTCTGCTCCTGCTTTTCTCTCCAGGGCTCACTACGTCGCAGCCACCACGGCCTCCTTGCCGACACTCACATGGCCACGGGGCTGGGCAGTGCTGTTCCGGCTCCCCATCATGCGTGTCTCCACGGGGCTGGCTCTTCCTCGGCAGTCAGGTCTCCGCTCCCACATCACCCCTCGGACACCCCACCTCCAGCCGCGGCCCCCAGCGCGGCTTTTCTCTCTGCCGCGCGCGTTTCGTTTGGTGTTTGTTCTGGCTCTGGAACAGGCTTGAGGCTGAGAGATTGCTCTGGCTGCATCGCTGCTGTAGTGTCAGCACCAAGCACACACCCGGAGCACAGGAGGTGCTCAATAGACGTGTGTTGAATGAATGGACAACGACATTTTCTTTCTTCTTTTAAAAAAAATATTTTACTGATTTTACACAGAGAGGAAGGGAGAGAGATAGAGAGTTAGAAACATCGATGAGAGAGAATCATCCATCTGCTGCCTCCTGCACATTCCCTACTGGGGATGTGCCCGCAACCAAGGTACAAGCCCTTGATCGGAATTGAACCTGGGACCTTTCAGTCCGCAGGCTGACGCTCTATCCACTGAGCCAAACCAGTTTCGGTGACATTTTCTTTTAAAAAAAATTTTTTTTAAATTGATTTCAGAGAGGAAGGGAGAGGGCGAGAGAGAGACACATCCGTGATGAGAGAGAATCACTGATCAGCTGCCTCCTGCAAGCCCCACCCTGGGACCCGAGCCTGCAACCCCAGCACGTGCCCTGAGCGGGAATCGAACTGTGACCTCTTAGTTCAGAGGTCGACGCTCAACCACTGGGCCACCCATGCCTGCCCGGCGGGAGAACGGCATTTCCAAACTTCGGAATCCTAGACCCCCGAGGCCTAGGAAGCCTCCAGACTCGCAGAGCCATCGAATCATGTCCTGTGGGAGGGCTTCATGCCCGGCCTCTCCAGGGCAGAAAACCCGTCCCGCCCCTCACTGGTCCACCCCGTGCTGTCCCACCCAAAACGGAAACGGCGGCCCAGGGGCTGGGAGGGCCTGGGGCAGGCCAGGGTACCAGCCTAGCCAGCCTCGAGCTCTGGGCTCTGCCAGCCAGTGGCCCCCAGAGCAGGGGCGTGGGGATGAGCTGGGCCGCCCGGAGGGGCTGGGGTGAGAGCCTGGAAGCTGCTCCCACCCAGGCCGACCGCCCTGCCCCCGCCCCGGCCTCCGTGACCAGCCAGCGGGGAGGGCGGCCGGTGCCTGAGCCCCAGATGTGGCCCAGCCAGCCGGGCCCTGGTGGCCACCGAGGAGGGTCAATGCCATGACAGTTCTGGGCTGGGGGAGGGGCGCCCAGGCGGTGGGTGCCTCACAATGAGGTTTTGTCCCAGGGGCCGCAGGCTGCTGCGCTTACATGTATAGAACGGGGTTCTGCTGGAGGCCCCAGCTGTGTGTGCTCCCCCCGCGGGGCAGGCTGAGGGGGGAGGCCACACTGAGGCGCCTATTCTTTGGCAGCCGATACACCCCAGAGGTCTCTCTCCCTCTGCAGCCTCCCTGAGGACAATTGTTACTCTCCCTCTGCCTCTCCCCCAGCGCTCTGCCTCTCCCCCACCCCGGCCTCTCCCCCACCACCCTGCCTCTCTCCCACTGCCCTGCCTCTCCCCCACCGCCCTGCCTCCCCCCTCCGCCCCCCACTCTGCCTCTCCCCCACCCCGGCCTCTCCCCCACCACCCTGCCTCTCTCCCACTGCCCTGCCTCCCCCCTCCGCCCCCCTAGTTCTGCCTCTCTCCCCCCTTCCCCCCCATTCTGCCTCTCCCCCGCCTCCCTGCCTCTCCCCTACCAGGCCGGTTGGCCTGGGCGAAGCAGACACCACCTATGCACTGTGATTTTTAAAAATGAACTTATTTTAGGAGTTGCCCGGACCCGAGGGAAAGCCGGCCCCTTTATATGCTGCCCCACCCACAGGGCTCTCAGTCCTCTCCCACGGGGTGCCAACATGGGAGCCTTGCCCTATCTTGGTCATCAGGGTGGGGTACGGGGAGGTGCGTATGCTTCGTTCCCAGCAGCACCCGCCTCCTGAGGCTGGGTCCCTGTCTCCAGGAGCCCTGAGGTCGGACGGGGCAGGCGGAGCCTCCCATCAATCCCGTGGTCGCTGCCTGGCCAGGGGTTCAGGCCCTGACTCTCCCCCGGCTCCACCAGGCCACTGAGCAGCGGTGCCCAGGGATTTTCAACTCTGGTCTTGGGAAAAGGGGGGCTGGAATGGCCCTGGTTTGAGGGCCACGAGTTACAGCTACCATCTCCCAACTCACCCAGCTGGGGCAGGGTGGGGGGGGCAGGGGAGGGGGCAAGGCCGGGGGCTGGGGCTCTGAGGGAACCCCAGGGAGCCTCGCATTCTTGCACGGAGGAGCGGCCCATCCATGGAGAGGAGTCCCCATCGCCCCCTCGCCCCACCCAGCCACAAGTGGGGGACCAAGAAGGCAGCGAGGCGGGCTGATGCGCTGTCCCTGGTGGCTGACTCGCCGTTCTCCGAGGCCTCCCGGTCCTGAGAAGCCGCATCTGTGAACCAGCCCGTCATTCCCGCCTCACAGCGCGGCCAAGCACCAGGGAAGTGATGGATAAATGGGATTTTCCACGATCCCAGGTCCGGCCCAGCACCCAGCGCCGGCCTCTGGAGACAGGAGGGCAGGAGGAGGCGGCGGATAGAAGGCAGGCCTGGGAAAGGGAGGCGGGGACCCAGGGGTTAATGAGTAACAGGCTGGAGGCCAGCCCAGGAGAGGGTGGGGCTCAGTCCAGGGCCAAGCCTCCCTCCCACAGGCCTCCTGGCCTCCACAGGCTTCCAGCCCCAGCGTCTACCCATAGGACAGCGCAGGGTGGTGAGGGGGAACCCAGCCAGCCAGCGAGGGAGGGTGAGAGGGCACACCTGGGTCTGGGGGCCCTTAAGCTCTCACTCACCTTCCTCGCAGGTGAGACCCTCCGAGCATCCTGCATGGGCCTGGGACAGCGTGCCCCTCCTCCGGCCTCTCCCAGAATTGCCTCTCCTGAGACCCTCCCTCCTCCACACTCACTGTGACCGCGGGCAGTCCCAGGGCCTCTCTGGCCCCATCTGCAAACCCAGTGAGACTATGGGCTGGGAAGAGCCCCCGAGAACCGTTAGGGGAGGGTGGAGGCCAGAGTCCTAGGCCGGGAGGTCTGGGTGCTGGTTCTAGGTCTGACCCTACCACCTGAGTGACCTTATCTAGCCTCAGTTTCCTCTTGTGCTCAGAGGCCTGAGTGATAGTCACTGTTCTCTCCCTCTGCGCCCCCCTCCTCTCCCCCCCCCCTCAGGTAGGTTCACTCTGGACTCAAGGGTCCGGGGTAGGAGGGTGCACAGTGTAAGGAAAAGGAGAAGGTCAAGGTTGGGTCACAGCTTGGCTGGGTCAGCGTCTGGGCCAAACTCTCCCTGGGGGATAGACTGACTGGAGGAACAGCGCCACCTGGCGTGTGGAGCGGGCAGGGCGGGACATGGGGCTGGCAGAAAGCCAAGGTGCCTCTCCTCGGGTCCGCAGCTGCTCCCCAGTCCTACTGTCCTGCAGCCAGCAGGGGTCAGGGGTCGGGTCCCCGGGCCTGGCAGGTATTCTGCATGCTCCCAGGGGAGCCATCAGACTTCCGTGGCCCCTGCGTACCTGGATGGGGGGGGTAGAAGAGTCCTCCTCCGTTGCCCTAGCTCTCAGCATTGGGGAGAGGGGGTGGCACTGTCAGACCAGCCTGGCCCCGAGCAGCTTACGTACCCTCTTTGAGGCCCAGACCCTTTGGGGGAGAAAAGGGAGCCAAGAAGGCCCCTCTTCCCAGGGGGTCAGACAATCAATCCCGCTGGCCCCCATCTCACAGGGCGGGGCCCTCCTTCAGCAGCTTCAGCGCCCTGTCTCTCTGCCGCTCGGTGCGGTCCGGATCAGGGCTCCGGCAGGGCAGCAGCGAGGGCCAGAGTTCCTCCTTCCCGCCCCCCTGCCGCTGACCTCAGCCCCGAGCCCCCGCCCCCGCCCCCCTGCTGGGAAGAGAGGGCACTCGAGCAGCCAGCGAGCTTCTGCATCCAGTTTATACACAGTAGTCTATACAATGTACAGGAACCGTTATATACAGATATATTTATAGAATAGGCTATATTAATTTGTCTCTCCTCTGTACAGCAGTGTTAGTCTGGATCTTTCATACATTAGGTACAAAAACGTCGCAGGAGAATGGCACATGGAGTGCATGTCGGGGCGGGGGGCCCGGCTGCTCGCTATCGATTGCATATGGGGGTCCCCGGCCACCCAGGCCCCCAGAGGACAGGCCAGCGCGTGGCCGGGGGAGCTTGTGCTGCGGGTCTGGGGAACAGAGTGAGGGGGTCAAGCTGAGCCGAGCGGGGCTGAGGGGGGTGGCTCAGACCCCCCAAGTGTGATGTGGGAGGAGGGCAGAGACACAGGCAGGCCACCCGTCGGGTGGGGGCGGGGAGGGGTGGGCTGGCCCCGGAGCATCAGGGCTGAGTCCGAGTCTGCCCCGGCCCCAAGCCTGTAACCCTGTGTGGCTGCAGCCTTGGGGCGGGGCGTCTGTCCCTGATGGCTCAGTCCTGGGCACGGGTGGGCGCCACACCCCTCAGAGGTCTTGGGCCCGCCTCGGCGGAGGAGGCATGGGAAGGCCAGACCGAAAGGCTCCCTGCGGTTGGCCTGGGTGCTCGTGGGAACGTTACTCTGATTTCTCATTGGTCTGTCTTCGTACGCGAAGGGCCACTGATTCGAATTGCTTCTGTGCTGGGCCTGCAGCAGGGGCAGGGCGGGGAGCCTGGTGAGGGGTGGGAGTCACAGAGGGAGGGAGGCCCAGCTCCCTCCAGGTCTCGGTGCCCCTCGGTCGGGGGGTGGGGGCAGGGTCCCAGGGCAGGGTCTGGGCCAATCCCAGCGGTGAGTGGGGTCAGGGTCATGGCACAGCCCAAGGTACCAGTGATCAGGGGACGGGGAGCCAAGCTGACGGGGGCCACGGTGGGGCCAGAGGGGGGAGGGTTATGCCTCCGAGGAGACGAAGGCACAGCGGATGTCAGCGCCTTGGCACAGGTTTTCCAAATCAGGGGTCAGAGCAGCAGGTGCGACAGGAGAACAGGTGACGTCCAAACCCGGCTCCCCTGCGTCCCGGCCACATCGTGGTCCCGGGCTGCTCTCTTGGCAGGTGGGGAGGAGTGGCGGGCAGGCGGGTGGGCACCCCAGCGGCCCCTCCCTCAGGAACAGCACGCACCCATGCACATGCACCCCGGTGCCCCACGCGAGCATGCACAGCCCCCCACGGGGCCTCTGGGAGAAGGGCCGCTCTCCAAAGGGGAGCGAGCGCTCAGGGGGGGCTGTGGAGCCCCCAGGCGAAGCCAGGCCAGCCCCAGAGCCCCTGACCCAGCAGTGAGCCGGTGCCACCGTGCCCCACCCTTGGTCCCACTTTCTGTCAACAGACACGGGCGACTAGAAGGAAGATCGCCCAGGCGAGGCCCAGGCCAGCGAGGAGGGGCGAGGGGAGTAGAAGGCGTTTGGTCTCAGATCCTAGGGCCCGAGCTGCCCAGGCGTGGGGGGGAGGTGAGGTCCCGTGGAGCCTACAAGGAAGAGGGGTTGGGTGTGCCCCCCCCCAGGGCACTAACTCAGCAGCCAGGGGTGGTCCCGGTGGTGCCCTCCATCCTTGGAATGACCAGGACCCCAGGGGTAGAGACGAGCTGGGAGGTAAGGAGCAGCGGGCGGGCTGGGCGCCCAGGGCCCATCCACAGAGGGGACAGGGTGAGGAACACTGAGGAGAGCAGGGCGGTCCTGACCCCACCTCCTCCGGACTCCCCAGGCACCTGCCCTGCCCAGCGGGGCCACGGAACAGGATTGAGGAGGTGGGGCTTGCACGCCCAGGACACACCGCAGCCCCGCCCAGCAGCTTCTGTAAACATACACAGCACTGCAGGCCCCCGTGGGGTCATCAGGGGCTGGCCAGCAGGCACCAGGTCTTGGGGGGGGGGGTGGCCAGGGCCGATGCCAGCCTGGCCCACAGGTGAGAGTATGTGGGGCAGGGCCGCTCTCCCTCCTGGCCCTGGGAGAGCAGCAGAGGGCAGGGAAGGGCATTCGTGGCCACTGCTTGTCCTGGAGCAGGGGTGCCAGGGGCCGCAGGGTGGGCAGGTGGCAGGGCCCCAGGCTCTTTCCCCCTCCTCACCCTGCCCCTGTCTGGAGGGCCCAGATGCCGGCTGCATGGCTCTGGGGGTTCTAGGCTGAGGTAGGGACGTGACCCCCCAGCTCAGCAGCAGCGCCCCAGGCCTGAGGCTCAACTGACCTCCGGGGCCTCTCCTCAAAGCTGACCGGACCTCCGGGGGCAGCCGCCTGGAGCCCGAGGGGCCGTCGGCGCGGGTGCGGGCGTGGGGGGGTGGGGGCGGGGGGCTAGCGTGCCGAGATGGCCAGGTCCTCCTGCTGGGCGGGGCCGGCCCCGCGGCCGGGCGGGGAGGGAGTCCGGATCTTGTCCAGGCTGCTGAGGCTGGTGGGCGTCAGGTCCATGAGCTCCCCGGAGGAGCTGAGCGGGAAGGAGGGCGACAGCGAGATGCCCGAGGAGGGCTCAGCCGAGCCTGCGAAGCGCCGCGGGGGCTTGGGCACCAGGTTGGGCTCGAACTGGGCCCGGAGCAGGATCTCCTGCTGGCTGGGCGACTTGGGGCCCTCGGCGTAGTCGCTGGTGGGGCTCTCGGGCACCACCATGCAGTACAGGTCCTGGAAGGAGCCGCTCTTGCTGTCCAGGTTGAAGAGGCTGTCGATGAACTCGGCGAACTCCAGCACCTGGGGGCTGGGCGAGTCCCCCAGGCGGCCGTTGTGCAGCGCCAGCTCCCCGCCGCCCCCCTCCTCCTCCCCCCGCTCGCGGGCCGCCGCGCTGGGGGGCCGCTCGGGGGTGGCGCCCCCGCTGCCCGGCGCGGCCTCCAGGGGCTGGGTGTCCTGGGAGTGCTTGGACAGCGAGTCGGCGGCCAGCAGCTCGGTGCGGGAGCTCAGGGACGGGTTCTCCTCGGGGATGGCGGGGTCGATGTAGAAGAGGTGGCCCTCGTCGCGCTCCAGCACGGCGTGCAGGCTGGGCGAGCCGCGGATGCTGCGGAAGCCGGAGGAGCGGCGCGAGTCGAAGCTGTACAGCGACTCCGTGTCCGACAGGCTCTCCATGGTGGCCAGCGGCGCCCGCCGCGCCTGCAGCTCGGCCGCCAGCCGCTCCTGCGTGGACAGCAGCAGCAGCTCCACGGGGTCCTGGCGCGCGGCCGCGGCCGCAGCCACTGGGGACAGCAGCCGCCCCTCCGAGAAGCCCTCCAGGCTCATCTCCGACTGGGACTTGCTTCTGCAGAGGGCAGGGAGGGGCAGGGAGGGGCAAGACTCAGGGGGGCGCAGAGACTGACCCCCAGCTCCCTGGCTGGGGGGAGCCTCGGGAGGGGGAGAGGGGCAAGCTCATTTAGCCGATGCTGAACTGTTAGGGGCAGGGACCCTTTAAAAAGAACAACAAAAACTCACAAGAACCCAAGACAGGAAAAGGGCGGATGCTGGGTTGAGCCGGGGCAGGGCGGGCGCCCTGCTGGCCGGAGGCCCTGGGGAGCCCGTGCTCTGTCACTGCACCGATGGGGGACCCTCTGTGCCCCGCCCAGAGCTCTATCCCAACCCCCTCAGCTGGAGTGCCTCCTGCCTCACCCTCTGCGGGGCGGGGCCCGGAGCCTCTGGGCCTACAGGTGCTGCAGGGAGTGAGTGAAGGTGGGGGCAGGGGGTGCAGCAGTCACAGCGGGAGAATGCACACGCCCCTCCTCTGGGCAGCGCTGCCTCAGGAAATGCGAGGAAGGCCGGAGAGATGCCGGGATCAGCTGATCACCCTTCTCATCAGCCTCTGGGCCACATCGGGCCTCCCTGGGCAGAAAGGTTCCAAAGAAGCAGGAGGACCCCAAAGAGTGTAACTGTGTGTGTGGGTGTCTGGGAGCATGTGTGCATGCTCTGTGTGTATGTACAGTGTACGCAGGAGCGGCCCACCTGTCACCCACCACGCGTGTCTGTGTGACTGGGTCTGGGCCCAGGCACAGTCTGTCGTCCCCATGCAGGGCTGCCTGTCGTCGCGTGTGCGTGTCGGCCTCTGTCTTGGTGAGTGTCCTACACAGGACTGTGTCTGCGTGGAGCTGCCCGTGTCAGCTGCAGTACAAGTACTTAACCACACGTGGTGAGTGCGTGTGAGCAGGGGTGTCCATCTGACTGGGTCTAAATGGGTCTGAGCGAACCTATGTGCCTTTGACCAGGGGGCTGTGCATCCTAGATGCCCACTAGCCCAGGTGGGCTTCCAGATGGCAGGCTGGGGGCAGTGGCAGCGAGGCAGAGACCGGAGCAGAGGGGACAAATTTGTCCTCTCCAGCCTTTGTGTGCAGAGCTGTGTGAGCATGCGGGCTCAGTCTGTGCACAGGACACATGTGTAAGGACATGTGCCCTGGGAGCCCACGTGCTCTGGGAGCCCACGTGTCCTGACAGCACACGTGTCCTGGGAGCCACATGCCCTGGGAGCCCACGTGCCCTGGAAGCCCACGAGTCCTGATAGCACACGTGCCCTGGGAGCACACATGCCCTGGGAGCACACGTGTCAGGGAGCACACATGTTCTGGGAGCCCATGTGCCCTGGGAGCCCAGGTGCCCTGTGAGTACACGTGTCCTGGAAGCACACGAGCCTGGTGAGCACACGTGTCCTGGGAGCACACGTGCCCTGGGAGCCCACGTGTCCTGGAAGCACACGAGCCCTGGGAGCACACGTACCATAGAGCCCACGTGCCCTGAGAGCCACACGTGCTTTGAAAGCACACGTGCCCTGGGAGCCACATGCCCTGGGAGAACACGTGCCCTGGGAGCCCACTCCCGGCCCTGCACCCCCGGGCCAGGGCTGGGCGGAGGGTCACCTGGCGTTGCTGTTGCGGTGGTCTGCGGGGGGCAGCTCCAGGGCGAGGCCGGCGGGCACGGGGGGCCCCGTGGGCAGCGGCTGCTGCTGGAAGATGAGCTCGGGAGTGAGGTCCACCTCGGTGGGGCTCACCATGACCTTGGCAGCAGAGAGCAGGGCCGTCTTCCCCTTGTTGTAGTTCTCCAGCACCTGTGGCAGACGGGAAGCCGGTGGGCAGGTGACGGTCACGTGTGGGGTGGCAGCAGGCCAGGCCTCTCAGGGCTGCGTGAGGCCAGCGGGCCCCACTCCCCCTCCCCCCAGGTCCTCCCCGCTCCAGGAAGGCCTGGACCGGCCCTGTGACCGTGCCTCGCTCCAGGACCGAGTGTGCCTTCCCTGTGGCCAGCCTCAGGCCGGGTGCCGCTGCTTGGCTGTGCATCGGTCAGTGCCGGGGGCCTCCGGGGCCTCAGCTGCCTTAGGGACAGGTCCCTGGGCGTCTCTTCAACTCCTCACCACGGGCCACAAGGCCACGCGACAGAGCAGGGTGCAGAGGCCAGGACACGAGCCGGCTCTCGGCCCCCCACAGCCCTGCCGGGGGTGCAGCTAACTCCTCTGAGCACCCACACCCTCGCCTGCAGCGGGGGCCGCAGACCCAGCTTGCGGGCGCTGTGGCAGGGGAGAGGGCAGCCGGGGGAGGGGGTCCGGCCGGCGCCGGCCTCACCTTGTTGAGCCCCTCCATGACCACGTAGGGGAGGTGCTCGTGCAGCATGGCCGGGGAGATGATCACCTCGTTGAAGGCCTTGTTGTCGCCCCAGATGGCGAAGTACGTGGGCTCCTCCTGCTCGCAGCAGCTGGGGGCAGGGGCCAGGGAGAGGCTGAGGGGGCGGCAGGCTGGCCTTGACCCCCCGCCCTGGCTCTGCTCTCTGGCCTGGCTTAGCAGGGGTGGGTGGACCCGGAGGCCTCAGGGCTGCGTCCCCGCTCCTGGCTCCTCTCTTGGCCCGAGCCCCACCCCCTCCCAGCCTGGCTGGGAACATGGACCCCAACAGAGGCCGGAAAAGCTGAACGTGAGCCTCCCCCGGCCCCACGCAGCCTTCCACATGCTCCCCCCTCCCCTGGCAGGACCCAGCTCACAACCTGGGCTGGAGGACCCGGGCCCAGCCCTGATCCGAGCAGGGGAGGAGTCACGTGCTTGCCCATCCCTTTCTCTCTCCTCCACCCGCCCCTGCGCAGCTGTCCGCCACCTGGGCCCAGAGGTGAGGCCACGTGACCACGGACGTGTGAGCTGGCAGGGCCACAGGGTGACCCTCCGTGGCATCACTTCTAAATGATCTAAAAGTTGGGGCGGGGGGGGGGGGGAGTTGCCCCGGGGGACACGAGAGGAGCCTGGAGTCCTGCTCTGGACCGGCCTCTGTTCTCTTCCAGGGGCAGAGCCTGGGGCATCCCGCTGTGGGTGCCCTGGGCCATCTGTCTCCCAGTCCCACAGCCCTTTCCCCTGGGGGACACGGCCCCTGCCTGGCCACCGCTGCCTCCCACTGAGGGCCTGGGTGCCATCTCCCACTGAGGGTCTGGGCACCCCTTCCCGCTGAGGGTCTGGGTGCCCCCTCCCGCTGAGGGTCTGGGCACCCCTTCCCGCTGAGGGCCTGGGCGCCATCTCCCGCTGAGGGTCTGGGCACCCCTTCCCGCCGAGGGCCTGGGCGCCATCTCCCGCTGAGGGTCTGGGAGCCCCCTCCCGCCGAGGGCCTGGGCGCCACCTACCAGCACTGCTCGGCGGGGTGGTTGTGCACCACGTGGATGATGCGGCCAGGTGGGTAGAGGGGGGTGCTGGCCGACAGGGCGATGGTCAGGTCGCTGGGGTGCGTCCAGAGCCGTGTGTTGGCCATGGTGGTCACCTCTGCCTCCTCGGGCAGCTCTGACTTGGGGATGCACTTCGTGGCTCCCACGATGATCCGCCACTGTGCGGGGGGAGGGGAGACGGGACGGCTGAGCAGCGATGGCGGGTGGGCGAGGACGAGGAGCTCAGCAGGCGGGCTCACGGTGATGGGGTGGGAGCTGGGGTGGCCACGGGCAGAGGGGGGCAGGTCTGACCACAAAGCCGTCGGGGGCGGGCGTGGGAACTGATGAGGAGCCGGGGTGGAGGCCCTGAGGACCAGCCCCCCTGACACAGCGACGGGGAGCAGGCCCAGCGAGGAAGAGGGACTCTCCCAGGGCCCCTAAGTCCAGGCCAGCGCTCCTGCCGGGCCTGGCTGCCTCGGGCTGGCTCCCAGCTCTCCCGACAAGTGCCCAGGACGGGTCTAACAGGGCAGCCCCCATACAGCCCCACACGCTCCGCCAGGCAGGCACGGTCAGACTTCACTGCCTGCCCACCTGGCACCTGCCTGGTCCTTCCTGCCGGGGGCGAGGGGCACCGAGGCTGGGAAGAGTGCAGCCTGGGCTGTGACGGCAAATGGGCCGAGGGCTGGGGGCACAGAGGACCCGCTGGTCCAGGCTGCCCTGCCCACCTCGGGGTGCAGCCCCAGCACTCCCGCCTGCCTGGCCAGGGCACAGCGCGAGCCCCTGACCCCGAGACCTGAGGAGGGATGAGGAGGGCGGGTCACCTCCCTGGGCCGCCGAGGAAAATCAGAGCAAGCTGCACCCGACCCCGGGGAGCGCCCGCCTGCTGGAGTCGGAGGGGGAAAATGGGGGGCTTTGGAGGCGGCCTTTCCGTCCCACACGCAGCCCTGGGCGGGGCAGCTTCTCCTGACTCTGCCAGTAGGCAGCTCTGCGGGCAGGAGCCGGGAGCCGGGAGCCGGGAGCCAGGAGCCGGGACCCAAGCCCCGCAGCTGGACTCTGCTCGGTGACAACTTGTAATGTGAGCAAAAGCAAGTCCCTCGCCCGCCGTGGCCTCAGTTTCCCCGAGTGCACCAGGGCTGGCAGGGTGAGCTCTGAGACCTGAGGGTCCCGCATGGCCGGGCCGCGGTGCTCTGGGGGAGGCACAGGTGGGCACACGTGGCAGACCAGGTGCCGGGAGCCGGGTGCCCGGTGGGATTGGGGGGCTGGGGGTGGGGGCTCACTTTGGGCTTGGTGCTCCGCTGCAGGACGTCCAGGAGCTGTCTGCGGAACCCCTCCAGCTGGGACAGGCCGATCCTGGGAGAGGAGCGAGGCCGGTCAGCCCGGCCAGAGGCCGGGGAGGCCCAGGGGGAGGCCCAGGGGAGGGGCAGCGGGGGCAGCGGGGCCGCACAGGAACAGGAAGGCCAGGCTGTCAGGCCGCAGGATGGGCGGAGGGCCTGGCCCGGGAAGGGAGGCCAGGCAGGTGGGCCCTCCGGGAGGGGACACATGGGGGCATGGAAGGGACTCTGGCGCCCCCTGTCCTCGGGGAGACAGGCATCCGAGGGAGGGAGCCCTGGAGCCCAGGTGAGGCCGGGGGAGGGAGGAAGAGCCCAGCGGAGGGGGAGGATAGACTCGCCTGGGGACAAGGTCTTTGCCCAGAACCACGGCCGTCACGAACTCCTTGGAGTACTCCATGGCGTCCTCGCTGCAAGGGAAGCGGGGGCTCAGGTGGGGGCTCAGGTGTGGGGGGGGCTCAGGTGAGGCGGGGGCTCAGGTGGGGGCTCAGGTGGGGTGGGGGCTCAGGTGTGGGGGTGCTCAGGTGGGGCGGGGGCTCAGGTGGGGGCTCAGGTGGGGCGGGGGCTCAGGTGGGGGCTCAGGTGGGGCGGGGGCTCAGGTGGGGGGGGGGCTCAGGTGGGGGCTCAGGTGGGGCGGGGGCTCAGGTGTGGGGGGGCTCAGGTGGGGGCTCAGGTGGGGCGGGGGCTCAGGTGGGGCGGGCCCTACCCCAGCACTGGGGGGAGGGCATTAATTTCTAGACTCAGTGACCCCTGGGGAGTGCCCAGGGGCCAGGCTGCACTGTCTGCTCCAGCCTCGCCCTTCCTGCCAGCAGGGCATTGCCCCAGGTAGATCTGGGGTGCCCTGGCATTGGACAGGACCCCCCCCCCCCCCCCCCGGTTACCAGGCCCCCACTGACCAGCCCGAGAACGGGCGGCGCTCACCTCAGCAGGCCGCCGGGCGGGGAGTAGGCGAAGCACTTGAGGGTCGGGTACTGGGGGCGCAGCAGGAAGGACAGGATGGCGGCGGTGCCCGCGCCCAGGGAGTGGCCCACCACAATCAGGCCGTAGTGTTTGGTCCCGCGGCCCTGGCGACCGAGAGGAGCTGAGAGCCGGCCCGCGCGGCGCGCTCACTGCCGGGCTGGGACCACGCCGCGGGGCGGCTGCCCAGGGGCCGGGAGGGTGCCCGCGGGCGCGGCAGCCGCCGGGCAGGGAGAGCCGAGCTGGGCCCACAGAGCGAGGTCTGGGGAGACGGTCCTATAACCCTCACTCCTTCGAGCCTGCTCTGCAGGCAGGAGCCGGGAGCCGGGCAGGAGCCGGGAGCCGGGACCCAGGCCCGGCTCCCCCTTCCCGACGCTCCCCCGGGACATCGGACATGGCTCTGCACTGGGAACGGCCTGGGTGAGGTGGCCGCTCCGGTGGAAGCTTCTGGGCCCCTGCCCCCCAACCCCGGCGCCAGCCCCTGGGCGGCTGCAGGGAGAGCGCCTCACCAGGTCCCTCCCGAAGGCCTGGGATAGCACCATCTCCTGCTCCAGCTTCTTCTTGATGTACTCGGCCGAGAGGACCATGCCCTGGGTGAGGAGGGACAGAGGTGGGTGCTGGGGAGGGCTTGGGAGAGAGGGCGGCCCCTCAGCGACCAGCCGCTCCAGACCCTGTCCTGACCACTCCCCCCTTTTGGCCTCATAGCAACCCGGCTGCTGGGCTGGTGGGCACTTTATGACATTGTTCCCATTTCACAGACGAGAAAATGGAGGCTCAGGGGCTTGAGTGTCTATAGAAACCAGTGGGATCTCTCCCCAGCCGCCTCCTCAGGCTCTTCCGGGTGAGGATCCAGGCCAGGCGGGACTGTGGAGTCCCGGGCAGTGAGCCCCACCTCTCTGACCAATGTCTACCAGTGAGCCCGGCCAGCAGGGAGGACCCCACCCCAGCGGCAGGCAGGGGAGAAAGCCGGGGCCCCGGGGCCCGCGGGGCGGCACCTTGTGTCCCAGCCACGTGCCGTGGTGGCCCTCCACCGGCAGGCGCTCGGCGTCACCGGTCAGGTCCGTCAGGGCGTCCTGGGGAGGCGACAGGCAGGGCGGCTGAGGACAGGCAGCGGGAAGCGGCCCCCCTCGGGGGCTGTGAGGGGTCCCCGCGGTGGGCAGGCAGCCGCCGGCAGCATACCTTGGGGGACAGGGTTCCCCGAATACTGACGACCACCTTCTTCTTGTCGTGGTCCACCGCCACGTAGAAGGGGGTTTCGTACACCTGGGGGGCGGGGGGAGGCGGTGAGCCCGAGCAGCCGGCGCCATGAGCACCTCCTCCCCGGCCCGGGTCTGTCTCCCCCAGCCACCCCCAAACCCGCCCCCGGCCGTCCCGGTGGGTCCCTCCCGGCCCAGGTCACAGCCCACGCTGCCCCCGGCTGCTGCGTCCGGAGCGGTGGCTGCCCTCCCCCCGGCCTTGCTGCTTCCTCCCGATTCCTCCCCCCAAAGGCTGAGGCTGGGGAGCCCCAACCCTGGGTGTGGGGTTGGGGTCCACGCCCTAGCCCCAGAGGGGGGGTGGGACGAAGGCCCACCTCTGTGCTGCCCAGCCAGGGGAGGCCTGCCGCCTGGGGCCAGCGTGGGCGCCCGGGCCCCTGCCCCTCGGCCCCGCAGCCACAGCGCCTGCCGCCGGCCCCGCCCGCCGCCGGCCCTCACCGCGTCGTGGCAGGAGGTGTAGACGATGTCCACGGCCGTCAGGTTCTCGTCCAGGAAGTGGCGCCGGATGGCAATGGCGTTGCAGCCGCAGCAGTTGTCTTCCTCGATGGTGACGCCGGGCGCAAACCGGGGCCGGGAGGGGCACAGGCAGCACCTGGGAGGGAGAGGCGGGGGCTCAGGACAGGGACCCCGACAGAGCAGCCTCCTCCGTCATCCCCTCTGGACCCCACTCTCCCGGCCCCGCCCTCCCAGACTCCTTGCAAAGCTCCGCAACATTGGCAGCAGCTGACCTGTGAGCCACGGTTCCTCCCTGTGCTCCCACCCCCCGCCCATGGGGTCTCCGCCTCTCCAGGTCCCAGGCCCCGAGGGCTCCCTGCTGCTCCCCCACCCCTGCTGTCCTCCCTCAGCCCCGTGCCTGGGCCCGGGGGTCCCCTCCCCACCTCACAGCCATGCTGGTGGTCAGCACGGCGGCTCGCCCACCCGCAGATCTGCCTTGCCTCTCTCTGCCCGCTCTCTCTCCCTCCGCCCTGCGCCTGCTCCCGCCACCTGACCTCTGCCTCGGGGTGTGCCCTGGCCTGCCGGTCTCCCTCATCTCCCTCAGCCCCCACCCTCTCCGCTATGTCAGACCAGCCGTGAGGCATCCACCCCGAGCCGGACAGCGCTGCGCCCCTTTCCCAGTGTAAGAGCCGGCCCTCCCGGCGGCCAGGGCCCTGCCCGTCCTGGCCCTGGCTCTCTGGGCCGCTGCCTCCTCTCCTGATCCGGCCTCCCGGCCTCCCAGTCTCCCTCCTGCCTCAGTGTTCCCACACCCACGGCCCTCTCAGCCGGAGACACTCTCCTGACCCTGTGTGACTAGAGGCCTGGCTGCCATGTTATTTAGGGTGCAGTCCACCCAGGCCCCTCCCCTGGCACAGCCACCCCGTGGCTCCCACGCCCGACGCCCCCCTCATCTGCTCCGACGGCACTGCTTCCCGCTGCACACTGTCTGCCCCCACCCCCACCCCCAACACAGGCGGCCAGGCTTTGTTCAGAGTCAGCACCCAAACAGGGCCCGGCGCACCCTCGGCTCCCCCCAGTGAAGGGTGTGAGCAGCAGAGCTAGGCACCCAGCGAGGTGCAGGGGCTCCTCAGGCCACCAGAGGGCGCCAGCACCCAGCAGATGGGCCGAGAGCCGGGCGAGCACATGACCTGCCTGCCAGCTGTCTGCGCTCACAGCTGCGGGTTTATGGAGAAGCCAAAAGCTGATGATGTGAGAGCGTTCGTCTTCACTCGACCGCTACACACTCCCCGAGGCGGGGGGCCTTGCCGAGAAAACCCGGGTGCAGCCCAGTCTCGGGAGCCACGGGCGACCTCCTCAGGGCACCCTGAGAGTCCCCCACCCCCTGTGCCAGGCCACACACAGCTTGGAACTGTGGGACCCCACAGCCACGTGCTCCTCCCCTCCCCCCTGCCCAGGCCAATCAGAGCTGGGGGGTCAAGGCCCAGAGAGGGCCAGCCACAGGGTGGTGGGGGGGGGCAGGCCAGGGCCCAGCTTCAGCCCTCCTCATGCGCGGCGGGGGGCCGGGGCGGGCCGGGGCCGTACTCACGAGCAGGACCTGGCCAGCTGGCAGAGGCCGCAGGCAGGCTTCCGCATCAGGTACATGGGCCAGCCGTAGGCGGCCAGCGCGAACAGCATGTAGTAGCAGACCTCCTTGTAGCGCAGCATCTCCTGCTGCAAGAACGGGGGCCGCGGCCGGTCACCCCCTGACCGTCACCCTGCAGCTGCCCCCGCCCCCGCCCAGAGGAGGGACCCACCGCTCCTCCAGGTGCTAATTGCCTTTCCCTAATTATCTCCGTGCAACCAGGGCGCGCACCCTCCGGGGACCTGTCCTGTCGCTCCGGCCTCAGAAGGAATGATTTGGGGACAGAAAAGCACTCGGGGCGTCGGCCGGTTTCCCTGCCCCGTTTCCAGTGAAGGAAGAGGGGGAGGGAGGGTCCAGGCCTTGAGCAGCGGGGCCCGCCCCCTGGATGCTGGGTGCTGGGTGACCGGACACGGGGCCGACTCTCTAGCTTGATGCACTGAGTCACTGGCTTGAAAGGAGCAGGCGGGAGATTGGCATCTCTCTGGGCAGACTGGCACCTCTCCGGGCAGGCTGGAGTCTCTCTAGAGCAGGCGCCCGTTCGAACCCATGCCTCTGGCCAGGGCTGTTGTGTCAGCCCCAAGGGCTGGAGGAGGCAGAAGGCGCTGGTGTCCCCCAGAGCGGGGCCGTGCCCTGGCGCCCAGGGCGGGGAGACGCCCGCGCGGAGAGGGGTCAGCGGGGGATGAGTCACCGGAGCCGCGAGCGGGCGGCCCTGAGTCGGGGCCCGGCGGCTGGAAGGAGCGGGGGCTCTGTCTGCCCTGCAGGAATGAGCTGGACCAGCGATGGCCCTCCTGCCTCGGCGCCCCCGGCTACAGGGCGGGCGGCGGCCTCTGCCCGGAGCAGGCGGGACCCAGCACCAGGCATTCGGGCCTGCCCTGCCCTGCCCTGCCCCCCGGCGCTGTCACAGGGGACACAGGCCTGTTTTGGGGGGTGGGGCAGACGGAAGCCAGAGCTTTTCCAGGGGCTCAGGCGCCAGGATGAGTCCCTTCCAGCAGCGTCCAGACTGGCACCGCAGGGGGTGGCAGAGCCCTCTGAGGGCTGGGACACCCGTGCCCTGTGCCACACACACTGACTGGCTTTCCACCAGAGGCGCGGGGAGAGGTTTATATTTTTGTCGATCTCAGGGAGGAAGGGAGATAGAAACATCCATGATGAGAGAGAACCGTGGACCGGCTGCCTCCTGCACGCCCCACACTGGGGATGGAGCCCACAACCCGAGCCTGTGCCCCGACCGGGAACTGGACCGGGAGCTCCTGGTCCACAGGCCGACGCTCAACCACCGAGCCGTGCCGGTGGGGCCAGCTGCCTTTTATGACGACAGCGGTGACAGCGACAAGAGTAGCCGCTCCCGCCGTGAAGGGCCGGGCATCCCGCGCGCGGGCGAGCGGACGCAGCAGAACCAGCGTGGAGGAGGCTCCGGGGGTCCGGGACGGGGACCGGGGCGGGGGCGAGGCCGAGAGGAGGGGCCCTGGGGGCTCAGGGGCGCGGCTGGAGCAGGCGGCCTGCTCCGGTCGCTCTGGCGGAGGGAGAGGGGGCACGGACAGCGTGGAGTGGGGCGGCTCTGACTCACCGAGTTCTTGAGGTCGATGTACTTGGTGTTCCTGGTCACGGGCATCCCCGACAGGAAGGCCAGGATGTCGTTGTTGGCCTGAAAGACGGGTGCGAGGGTGGCTGCGGGCCCCGCGCCGAGAAAGGGCGGGCGCCCCTCCGCCCGCCGCCTGCTTCCCACGGCCGAGAGCCCGAGCCCGGGGCGTGGTTTCCAGCTCTCCCGCCCGCCCGGCGGTTCCTAAGGCCCAGGTCCTGTCCTGCTCCAGCTGCTTCCCTCCCACTCAAAGCATCACCCCCCCTTCCTGGGCCCCGGGGAGGGGGTGCAGGAGGTACTGGGAGACCCTCGCTGGGGCCGGTGTGTTGGGGATGGGGGGGGGGATGGAGAGGCTGAAGCCATGCTGGGTCGTCCATTAGCTCCCAGGTGGGGCGTCCCCGTGGCAGCCCGGCCTGGGGCCCCTCGGAGGGAGGAGGCTCAGGCAGAGCTGTGAGCGGAGGCTGCAGGCAGGAGCCGGGAAGGAGGAGTGGGAGTCCCAGAGGGCGACCTCCAGGCCCCGGAGGAGGGGACCAGCAGCAGGGGCGGCAGGGAGAGGCCTGGGTGGGGGTAAGGGGTGTAGGGAGGCCACTGGGAGGAGGCGGGCGCTCACCTCGTCCAGCACAGCATTGCGTTTGGCCCGCTGCCGCTGCCGGAGCAGGACCAGGCCAGCGATGATGTCGGAGGGCACGATGTCCAGGTCCCGGAAGAACTCGGCAAAGAGGTAGGCGATTTCCGAGTAGGCGTCCTACGTGGTCCGGGCAGGCGGGCGGGGCGGGGCAGCAGGAGAGAGGACAGGGGACGGAGTGAATCCCGGTGCCCGGGTGTCCGTGGGGCCGGCCTGCGCCATTCGCCCCACACCTCGAGGCACCAGCTGGGCCCGGTGCCCGACCCCTGCGACCCCTGATGGGAGCCTTGGGCCTTGCCTAGGCCTCTGCATCTCCACGCTGGCCCTCCTGTCCCTGCTCCCGCAAGGGCCCTCACACGCGGAGGGCGAGGGGCTCCCAGGAGCAGGCGGCACCCAGGAGCCGGGCTCAAAACCCAGCTCCTCCGCCAGCCCTGCCCCCGTGCTGCCGGCGGCAGACGGCCCTCTGCGCAGCCCCACCCCCACACCCCCCCCCGTACTCACTGACTGCGAGTCCTTGGTTCGCGTGCAGCACAGGAACACCTTGAGCCGGCGCGACCAGCTTGTGGCCTGGCCCTCCTCCAGCCGATGCCTGAGGGCGGGGATTGTGCGTGAGCCCCAGGCTGGCCCAGTGGACCGGGGCCCAGACGGGACGGACACAGGGGGGCCTGCTCCTCGGACCCCCCCCAAGGGCTCCCTGACACAGCTCGGTGGCCAGAGGCCTGGCCCATGACCCAGGCAGACGGAACACCGCATGCCTGGGGGCTTCGGAGCTGGGAGCCCCAGCCTGTCCCTCAGAGCTGCTCCCCTTCAGAAGGACGTCAGCCCGGCCGGCGTGGCTCAGTGGCTGAAGGTCAGCCTATGGGCCAGGAGGTCACGGTGCAATTCCCGGTCAGGGCACATGCCCGGGTTGTGGGTTCGATCCCCACTAGGGGGCGTATGGGAGGCAGCTGATCTAATGATTCTCATCATTGATGTTTCTATCTCTCCTCCCTTCTTCTCTGAAATCAATAAAAATATATTTAAAATTTTTAAATTTAATTTAATTTAAAACAGGGTTTTGGATACATTCTCTGTACTTGGGGGAAGTCTAAGGGTGGAATGAGGCTCTGAACTTCCCAGCCCCTTGCATCTGTCTGTCACAGCAGAGGAGCGGGCCCAGCCTCCCCTGCACAGCCGGCCTGGCCCACTCCCCCTCCCGCCACCCCCATCCCCCAGCCCCCAGGTCTGGCAGCTCATCCAGGAGTCTGCATCTGAAGGCAGAGCCGTGGCCGGTACCCACGGGGGCCCTTCCAGAACTGGGTGCCCGGGAGTCCGTCTGTTTTGAGCATAAAGATAGCAGATCCGATGTTAAAACCGTGCATCTTCTGGCTGATCGAAAAGGGACTGATTTCTTCTGTGACCTGTGCCCTCCCGCTGGCCCTGTCAGAGTCTGCTGGGAGGTGGCCCAGCGGGGGAGGCGTGGCCCCGAATGCATGAAGGCACATAGCCGAGGTCAGGAGTGACAGGGCCCTCCTTCCCGGGCCTCTTAGCTCTGCTCCCTGCTCCCAACCCCGGTCCCACAAGCGTGGGGAGCCTCGGGCCTCCAGGGGTTAGAAAGGGTGCACGGAGCTGCTGGCCCTGGGCCCTGCCAGCCCCGGAACCAGTGTCCCACCTGCCAGAGGCCCGTTAAAGGGAGAGCATGCCACCAGGCTGGCTCCCAGGGCATTGTGTGCTTTGAACCCGTTCCAACCTAACGGGGGTTTTAAAGCTTCGAAGAGAATTTCCGGCTGGGTGGGTCTCTGACCCGAGGAAAGGGCTGGCCATCCCTGCGCTGCAGTACTTTGTATGTCCACCAGGGGGCAGACGGAGCCGGGGACAGGTTTGGCCTAATGCGGTTAAGTTAGGCGGCAGAGGCCAGGCTGGGTGAGAGAGACACACTAAATCCAGACGGAAAAAGCCCACAGACTGGCACTGCTCCGCCCGGGACTCACTCATGTGAAGGAGGACCGACACTCCTTCAGCAAAGATCCAAGGTCAAGGCTCCCAGGGAATCACCCCCCTCCCAGCCCTCGCCAGGCGGCACTGGAAGGAGAGAGGGCAGGCAGGGGCTTAAGCAGCTTCCTGACTTCAGAAACGGAATTAACCTGCGGGTGTGCACCCCTGAGCCTGGAGGTGGGCTAGACTATGTCCCTGCTAGAAAAGCTGCCGGTTTCCGAGCAGAGGGAGCGCGAGGGAACAGCCTGAGAGGGGCCACACCAGCCAGGCCGGGGCCTGCCGCCCCGAGAGCCGCAACACGACGGACCTGTGAGCTCCGTGGCCTCCTGCTCCACGAACAGGCCCAGAGGCCGCAGGGGGACTTTCCAGCTAGAACGACAGCCACTGCCAACCCCCCTCGGCAGCGGCCTCGGCCCTCCTGGGCCCCACAGGCAATTACACCGAGCCCCGGAGAGGAGATGTTTATCTGGGGCCCCAGGAGCCCAGAAACCAGGTCAGGTGGGGGCGTGTGCTCAGAGTGAGCACATGAGACAGGACGGGACGCGACGGGCGCTGTCGCCAGCTGCTCTGGGGCCTTGGCTCCGAGGCCTGGCATCTGGGCTGGGAAGTGGCCGCCCTGGCCGGGTGTGCCTCTGGCTGCAGGGCTGAGCTGACGTGGAGGGCCCGAGGGAGCGGAACATGAAGGCAGGAGGGTCGGGCGGAAGATTCCTGCTGAGCGTGGTGCCGGGGCCGCCTGCCGGCCTGGCGGATGGCTCCGACCCGCGGCCCCGTGCAGCGCCAGTCTGTGCCCGCCAACTCGACCTGGGCAGGGGGCCTGCTTCTGGGACTTCTGCTCCTGTTTGCAGACCGGGACCCAGCTGGCCCAGGGTTGGTGGGAAGACGGACGGTGGAGAAGGCAGGGCCTACCTCTTGGCAGAAGCTCCATGGACAGGACCCACCCTGGAAACCCCTCTCTCTTCCTTTCCATCAGTAAGAATTACCGTGACCCTGGGTGTCCGTCCTCAGGCTCTCTCCCACGGCACAGAAACACCGTGTGAAACACACCCCCTCCAGGAAGCCCTCCTTGATTGACCTCCTCCAGCCCCTTAGTCCTAGAGGCAGCCCAGCCTCACGGGTAAGATCGAGGGCTCTTGAGCCAGGTTGCCTGGGCTTGGCCCCAGCCCCATCCAGTACCCACGGAATCACCTCAGGCCAGTCCCTGCCCTCGTGGGGCCCAGTCTCCTCCTCTGTGTTATGAGGACGATGGTATCAGCGACCTCCTGGAGCCGTTAGTTCAGCGATATGACTGGCTTGACTGCCACATGCCTCCTGCCGTCCCTGCCTCCTGCCGTCCCCATTGCAGTTACCGGCCTCGGCCTCAAAAAAAGGATGACGACGACAGTGGCTCCCATTGACGGAGCTGGAGCTGTGTGACCACTTCTCCACATTCTCTCACTTAGGTCTCAGGACAGCCCCGTTCGGCAGGTCCCACTTTACGGGCCAGGAAACTGAGGCAGGGAGAGGCCAGGCCCACAGCTCAGCGCGCGGCCCGCCCGCCGGGAGGTCCCACCCTCCAGGCCGCTCACCGCAGGTTGTAGGTGCGCAGGTTGCGCTGCCTCCTCTTGGTGGCCCGCAGCTTGACGAAGGTGCGGCCCGTGGGGTCGAAGACGCAGAGGACGGTGATGCACACGCTCAGGATGACCACCCAGTTGCAGACGACCATCCCTGCGGGCAGGGGGGGGAGCACGAGGCGCTGGGACCCCCGCGCACCAGCTCCAAAGAGAGGGCGCCGGAGCCGCCCTGCCCCCGCCCCCGCCCCCTCCCACTGCCAGGCACAACCACAGCCAGGCTCAGCGGCCCGGCCCAGGCTCTGGCCGGGAGGCCGTCCCCTTTGCCGAGGCCCGTCCTTGGCTCAGAGCGGGCGGCTCTGCAGATGCTGAGGTCGGGGCAGACCTGGAGGAAGGCCGCGCCCTCCCCTGGGGCTCCAGCTCCCTCTCCGCCTGCCCTGCGCGGGCGCTGCCGTACCCAGGGTGACGTTCTTGGCGGTGAGGTCGTTGCAGGAGGTGTAGTACTGGGTCAGCCAGACGATGCCCACGATGGCGTAGATGAACTCGATCACCAGGATGGCTGGAAGACACGGGCCGGCTGCAGGGAGGCGCCCGGCCCTCCCACCACGCGCCCAGCCAGCTCCGCAGCGGGACCGGGGACCCCACCGCCGCTGCCCACAGGCCTCCCGGGAGGAGACCGGGCAGCGTGGCTGTCCCTCCGCTCGCCCCGCTGCAAGGTGGCCTCAGGCCTGGACGCTCCCGAGAAGGAGGCTGGCGAGGCGGGTGGCGAAGAGGCACTGCCCTGCCCTTCCGGGATCTCAGAATCACCCCCATGGGCTCTTAGGCAAGCCACCCAGCCCACCCGAGCCTCTGTCTCCTCGTCTGTAAAATGGGCGGCCAGGGCCGTGGCCTCACGGTGGGAGAGCCAGAGGGGAGTGTCCATGGCAGGGAAGCTGCTATCCCCCAGGAGAGGCCTCAGGTGCCTGCAGCAGGTGGAGGCGGCCCTGCCGCGGCCCCTCCAGGCACCCTGCTCAGGGCGCTGAGCCCCGGTGGAGACGGGGCTGGAGGGGGGTGGGTAAGGAGGAGCGGGGGAGCCGCAGGCCCAAACCCTGGTCTGTAAAAGGAGGCCAACACTCGATCCTCTAGTCTAGTGAACCGCAGTTCACAGACTGTTCACCAGGGACGAAGGGGGAGCCCAGGAGAGGGACGGGGGTGGGGGGGTATGGGGGGCTCCTGGGAACCGGCAGGTCCAGGCCCGAGGGCTCTTCCCAGGACGGGTGTTTGGGAGGACCCCAGGGCTGGGGAAGGACAGCCTGGACCAGGGCGGGGGACCTCTCTGTGAAGGCCAGAGAGCAAGCCCCCCAGCGTTTGGGGTCATATTCTGTGGCCGCTGCTCCGGTCACTCAGAAGCAGCTGGAGACGAGAGGCACAGAAATGAGTGAGTGTGGCTGGGCCCCAATAAAACTTTATTCACCAGAACGGACAGCAGCCTGGGCATGGCCCTCAGGCCGGGGTCTAGTCTGGGCCCCTGCACTGCTGCCCCGGGTGCACAGGCAGAGGGTGAGGGTGGGGAGTGGGGGCGGAGGGTGAGGGTGGGGGTGGGGGCGGAGGGTGAGGGTGGGGAGTGGGGGTGGAGGGTGAGGGTGGGGGTGGGGGCGGAGGGTGAGGGTGGGGAGGGGGGTGGAGTGTGTGGGGTGGGGGCGGAGGGTGCGGGTGGGGGTGGGGGCGGAGGGTGAGGGTGTGGAGTGGGGGAGGAGGGTGAGGGTGGGGGTGGGGCGGAGGGTGAGGGTGGGGGTGGGGGCGGAGGGTGAGGGTGGGGAGGGGGGTGGAGTGTTGTGGGGTGGGGGCGGAGGTGAGGGTGGGAAGTGGGGGTGGAGGGTGAGGATGGGGAGGAGGGTGAGGTGGGGGTGGGGGCGGAGGGTGAGGGTGGGGGTGGGGGCGGAGGGTGAGGGTGTGGAGTGGGGGTGGAGGGTGAGGGTGGGGGTTGTGGGGCGGAGGGTGAGGGTGGGAGGGGGGTTGAGTGTGTGGGGTGGGGGCGGAGGGTGAGGGTGGGGTGGGGGCGGAGGGGTGAGGGTGGGAGTGGGGGAGGAGGGTGAGGGTGGGGGTGGGGCGGAGGGTGAGGTGGGGTGGGGGCGGAGGGTGCGGGTGCGGGTGGGGGCGGAGGGTGCGGGTGGGGGGTGGGGCGGAGGGTGGGGTGGGGGTGGGGGGCGGAGGGTGAGGGTAGGGTGGGGGCGGAGGGTGCGGTGGGGTGGGGCGGAGGGTGAGGGTGGGGGTGGGGCGGAGGTGAGGGTAGGGTGGGGCGGAGGGTGCGGGTGGGGGTGGGGCCGGAGGGTGAGGGTGGGGGTGGGGGGCGGCCTTACCCAGGCGCACGTAGAGCACGTACTGCATGGACTCGCGGGGCTCCGTGTAGAGGATGCCCCCGCGCATACTCAGCCAGATGATGGCCATCTCGGCGATCATGCAGCTCAGCAGGATGCCCAGGTAGCCGCGGCCGTGGTCCACCAGGTTCAGGGAGCAGGCCTCGTGCGGGCTGTAGACCAGGCCGAAGAGCACCACGGACAGGATCACAAACCTGGACACGCGTGCGAGAGGGGCTGGCAGCCTGCACACCCCGGCCCCGCCTGGCCTGGGTGCGGTGGGCAGGACCCCTGCCCCCCTGCCCCAGCGCCTCTGAGGACCGAGGGAGAGCCTGCCTCCAGCCCCAGTGCCGGGCGCAGGGCTGGAGGGGCCGGTGAGGTCCCCACGCCCCCTGTGGGTGTCACCTGAGGGGCGTATGGTCTCAGGCACCTCCTGTTGGGGGCTGGGAGCACTGCGCCCCCTCCCCCCCTCCCCGCGGCGTGGCCCGGGACTCACCAGGTGGTGTGCAGGAGGAAGAGGAAGATGGCCGGCAGCACCAGGTCGTCGCTGCCCACAGACCAGCGCCGCCGGAACACCACGATCCCGGGCATGGCTGGCGGCTCTGCGGAGGCTCAGCAGGCCTGGCGCTCACCTCCTGGGAGAGAGCAGAGGGCCCTGTGGCTGCCTGGCACCCACACCCAGGGCCCCCAGCACCCACGGTCCTCAAGCACCCAGGATCCCCCAGCACCCAGGATCCCCCACACCCAGGATCCCCCACACCCACGGTCCCCCAGCACCCAGGGCCCCCCCACACCCAAGGCCCCAGCACCCACGGTCCTCAAGCACCAGGATCCCCCAGCACCCAGGATCCCCCACCCCCAGGATCCCCCACACCCACGGTCCCCCAGCACCCAGGGCCCCCCCACCCCCAGGGCCCCCAGCACCCACGGTCCTCAAGCACCCAGGATCCCCCAGCACCCAGGATCCCCCACATCCAGGGCCCCAGCACCCAGGATCCCCCAGCACCCAGGGCCCCCCCACACCCAGGGCCCCCAGCACCCACGGTCCTCAAGCACCCAGGATCCCCCAGCACCCAGGATCCCCCACATCCAGGGCCCCAGCACCCAGGATCCCCCAGCACCCAGGACCCCCCCACACCCAGGGCCCCCAGCACCCACGGTCCCCCAGCACCCAGGGCCCCCCCACACCCAGGGCCCCAGCACCCAAGGCCCCCAGCACCCAGGGCCCCCAGCTCCCAGGGTCCCCAGCACCCAGGGCCCCCCCACACCCAGCGCCCCCAGCACCCAAGGCCCCCAGCACCTAGGGCCCCCCAGCACCCAGGGCCCCCCCACACCCAGGGCCCCAGCACCAAGGCCCCCAGCACCCAGGGCCCCCAGCTCCCAGGGTCCCCAGCTCCCAGGGCCCCAGCACCCAGGGCCCCTCGGCACCCAGGGCCCCCAGCTCCCAGGGTCCCCAGCTCCCAGGGCCCCCCAGCACCCAGGGCCCCTCAGCACCCAGGGCCCCCAGCACCCACGGTCCCCCAGCACCCAGGCCCCCCCCCACACCCAGGGCCCCAGCACCCAAGGCCCCCAGCACCCACGGTCCCCCAGCACCCAGGCCCCCCCCACACCCAGGGCCCCAGCACCCAAGGCCCCCAGCACCCAGGGCCCCCCCACACCCAGGGCCCCAGCACCCAGGGCCCCCCAGCACCCAGGGCCCCCCCCACACCCAGGGTCCCCAGCTCCCAGGGCCCCCCAGCACCCAGGGCCCCCCCACACCCTGGCCCCCCAGCTCCCAGGGCCCCCAGGCCCCCGGGGCCACCACACTCTGGCCAGGTGTGCTCAGCGACACAGGCCTCTCTTCCGCTTCCCCTGCCCCAGCCCAGAGGCTTCCAGCCCCCGGAGATGCTGAGCACCCCCTCCGGGCAGGACCCCCCTCGGCCTCATCCACCCCAGAGCCAGCAGGAAGGACCTCACAGTCAGACTCTGCTCCTGAGGGCCCTCCAGCCCTGAGACTGGCACTTGCCCCTTGGGTCCCGCTGTGCCCTGAGGTGACCCCAACAGTGACTGCTCAGCCCCATGCAAGGCCTGGGCTACCCCTGCCCCCCCCGCATGAGGCCAGGGAGCTCGCCAGCCCTGACCCGGCCCCATGCTCGCAGTTCCCGGATGGGGTGGGGGCCTCCCAGGTCAAGCATGAGACGGGCAGGGCAGCCCGAAGGCTGAGGGCCGTGGGGCAGGGCCAAGCACGGAGGCGGGAGTGCCTGCACGGGGTAGTGCCTAGTGAGCAGATGCGGAATCAGGTCTTCAGGTCCCTGCTTGGCCGGAGCCCTGGGAGCAGCGCCATGGCTTTGCACCCACCAGACAGGACTGCCAACCTCCGCTTCCCTCTTGGGAGGGAAGGGGTCAAGAGCACGCCGAGGCACCCAGGGCTCCGCTGAGCCCTGCAGGGTGCCCACCCTCCCACGCCCACCCTGAGCCACGCCGCCTCTGCTGCCCGGCCCTAACTCTGAAGTTGGAGTTCACATCAGCTCAGGAGGAGCGCCCAGGAACCCGGGCCCTTCCCCAGGGCCGGGGGACCGGGGTGGGGGAGCAGCGGGAAGCCTCCCGGGGGCTGGTCCGGGGGCTCCGAGGGGGGACTGTGCGGGGCGACCCCCGCTGCAGAGGGCGGACCGCTGCCGCGGCCACAGAGGCTTACATGGCACCTGATCCTCTCCCTCTGGCGGCTCCTGGGAAAACGAGTCTCCTCGGAGACCAGCATCGCTCAGCAAGGAAGCGGGCAAGTCTCCCCCGGCTGACGGCCACGGCCCTGGGGCGGGCCCGGGGGAGGGGGCCGCCGCGTCCAGCCCAGCAGGTCCCCACGTCCCTCCCGGTGCAGACGCTTCTTCCAGCGGCTGCTGCCGGGGCTGCAGGCGAGCGGGCGGCCGGCTGGTGGCTGGCAAGCTCGCGGCTGGGGTCGTGCCTACTCCTCCCCCACCCTCAGGAAGTGACATCATCCCACTCACTACGAGGAGGAGCCGGAGCGCGGATTCTGGGAAGCAGGGAGAAGGATGGGGAGCACAGAGCCACGAGGTGGGGAGGCTGGGGGGCCGGGAGCCCGGGCTCCGTGGTGTGGCTGCGACACGTGGCCGGCCGGCAGCACCGGCTTTGGTTAGAAAGGACCGGAGCGAAGGGGCTGGGACACGGGGTCCGCCACCAGTCCTCCACAGCCCCGCTGGGTCTCCGGGGGGGTGTGGGGAGGGGCTCAGGGCCCCTCACTCCAAAGGAAGGACCGGGAGGACTGGGGCCGGCAGGAGGCAGGAGCCGTGCCTCCTGACAGGCGCTCTAGCTCCGCCTCCTGCTCCAATGAGGACGGCCCTGGTGGAGGGAGGGGAGCACCAGCCCTCAGGGGGAGGGAGGAACCCCGGGCAGCATCAGCAGCTGGAGGTGAGAGCCCACCCCTGCTGGCAGCCCAGGACTCCCTGTCCTCAGTGTGCCCGGAGACCCTTCCCTACTGCCTCTCCCCTCTCCCCCCACCTTATGGAGTCAAAATGATGGACATCCCCTAAACTCACACACACCATCCTCACACCCCCCTCCAGCTCACACGCAGCCCCACGCGTGCCCACGGCCACGCCTCCCCACGCTCAGGTGGGAGAAGCAGGGCCAGCCCGGCTCCGGTCTCTGCACTGGTGGCTGGAGGCCTGGGAGCCCGTCCCCGGCCTGAGGGCCCAGGGCCAGGGCCAGGGCCCACCAACCACGTGGCCCCCGTGGGCGCCCTGTTACAGACCCGGGGTCGCACCCTGCCCCGCTGACCTGCCCCTGGGGACAGCCCCGGCTGCAGGGTCCCATGCACAGGCCTCTGGGCCTTGAACCCGGGCACCACCACCCACCAATGCGTCACTTACTAGTTGTGACTCGGTTTCCTCACCTGTCGCTTATCCCACCTGCTAAGCAGAAAGGGGCCAGCAGAAAGGACCGGTGAGGGCCCCCCGGGAGACAGTCCAAGAGGCCATGGCCACGCCGGCAAATGCCAGCGCCCGCCCCAGGGTCTCAGTGGGGGAAGGGGGAGGGGAGGCCGAGGGAGAGGGCGAAACCCTGCTGGGCAGCTGCCCCGCCCCTGCCTGGGCCAGCGACGCCCCAGCTGGTCACCCAGGGGCCGTGGCCCGGGTGCGGGTGCCGGGCCTGCACTGGGGCCGGGAGGCGGGGACAGGCCGGGCCTGGACATCCCGGCGGCTCAGGGCTGCTGTTTTTAAGGGCCTCAAAGGCGTCCTTTCTCTGGAGACCCCGCTGCTCACAAAGCGGGCCTGTTCCTGCTGGGATGTGATTTCATCTGGAGGAAATGTCTCGGGGGGAGGGCGAGGGGCCAGGCTGCTTCCTCGTCTGGGGCTGCCACGCATCAGCCGGCTCTCCTCGCCCAGGGCACAGGGTCGTGCCCTCCGACAACCGCAGCGGCAGGCACTCCGCCTCCCCCTCCTCGCCTCAGGCCAGTGGCACTCCCAGGGCAGGCACGGCGCCCCCTCCGTGCCCCTGGCTGAGCCCCCAGCCCAGGCAGGTAGGAGTGAGGTGCCAGGAGCCCCCTCCCAAGGATGGGGTGCCTGGAGCGGCCCCCTCCCCCGAGGCCAGCCTCCCTGATGGGGCCTCGGGCCCCCGGGGCAAGTGGGAACCACTCCGGGAGTTCCTCTTCCCACAGATGCAACATCTTCCTAAAACGCACTCCAGCTTCCCCCTTTACAAACCGCGTGGTCCGGTGGCCTGCGGGGCGAATCCAGGCCCCCAGGCCCTGGCTACGGGCTTCCGTCACCCGGCGGCAGGCTGTGCAATGCCGGGCAGGCGCCTTGCCCTCTCTGAGTCCTGGAGCTGGAAAATACTCCCCAACCAGTGGGGCCAGGCCCCAGCACAGGTCCTGCCCTCAGCCAGCAGGTTCCTGGCTGCGCGGTGCTCCAGCCCCTCTCACACGGCCCCACCCCTCTTTCCGGGCTGCCCCCAGCTTGCTTCTCCTACAGTCACCTCTTTCTAGACGAGCCAGGGGTCACCTCCTCTTTGAAGCCCTCCCTGACAGCCCCCAGGCTGAACGGCTGCCCCTCTGGGGTTCCAGGACCTCACTCCAGTGTCGCCCTGGACTCTGTCTTACAGGAAACTCGCCCATTCTCGCTGGCCATCCCTGCCCCAGCTCGGCCGGGAGTCCCTGGGGCCAGGGCCTTGTACCTCCTTCATCCTCACCGGCTCTCTGGCCCCTGGAATGTGAGCACAGCCGACCCCCCAGCCAGCCCCTCGGCTGCCCCGCACCCCCTCCTCGCCCTGACGGATCCCCCAGGCTCCCTGAGGCACTCCCTTCCTGGCATAAGGGTCCCCCTTCGCTCACACCCTTGGCTCCTGGGGAACAGGCCACTCAGTGCCTCCCCAGCTGCTCAGGGCGACCAGCTGCCGCCTCTGGCTGCCCAAGCTCCGGTGTCCACCTCTGCAAAGTGGGGGGACGCCCCCTTGGAAGGCTGCAGGGAGAACTGGGGGACGAACACTGGCCCTGGCAGACCCCAAGCCTCTGTCTGTGGTGACTGTTACAACGGAAGTCGGAGACGCCCTGGCGGGGGGACCTGTGACCGGATGCCGGGGCCCAGGGTGCTGCCCACTCATGACTGGCTCTGCCGAGGGAGGCCCGGACTGAGCAGATGGAAGTCCTGCCTGGTGACACCCCCTCACCAGGGGCTTGGGGGCTGCTGGCTAAAGCACCCCAGACTGGGCCTCGCCTCCTCATCCCACGGTCCCCTCGGGCTTGGCCCTGGGAACAGGTTTCAGGAGAAAAGCCCCTTGGCAGTGGGTCCCAGCCACCAGGGACCAAGAGGTCGAGGGGAGGGCAGAGGGCGTGGCTGTGTCCGCCCTCCAGATGGCCCCGCACAGGGTTCTGGCCACGGGGAGACGGCAGGAACCTGGCTCGCCTGCAGTGCCCGGTGCCCACGGGACAGGCTGCTGTGCTGCTGGAGAGACCCCAACAAGCCCCCTCCAGCTTCCGGGCCAGGACATTGCCCCCGGGGACCGGAGCAGGGCTGGAGGGGGCGTCTGAAGGGATGACTGCCAGGTGCAGGCCACAGGGACGGGTCTGACATCAGCGGGAGCCTCCTGGGTCCCAGCCCTGCCTTCCTCACAGCAGCGGCGTGCTTCAGCCACAGGCTCTAAATACAGACTGTGGCCCTGGCCGGTGTGGCACAGTGGATAGAGCATTGGCCTGTCAACTGAAGTGTCCTGGATTTGATTCCTGGTCAGGGCACATGGCGGGGTTGCGGGCTCCATCCCTAATAGAGGGCATGCAGGAGGCAGCCGGTCAATGATTTTTCTCTCATTATTGATGTTTCTATCCCTCCCTCCCTCTCCTTTTCTCTCTAAAATCAATAAAAGTATATTAAAATTAGAGGCCTGGTGCATGAAAATTCGTCCACTCGGTGGGGCGGGGGGTGGGGGTGGGGGTGTCCCTCAGCCCGCTTGCACCCTCTCACAATCTGGGACCCCTCAGGTATGGTCCCTAAGCCTGGCCTGAGATCAGGGCCTATTGGGGTTTTCCTTCCCAGGGCTGCAGGCAGCTGGCCCCACCCCCGCTGCTGCCACTGCCTGCCATCTGTGCAGTGCTGCCCCCCTCCCCTGCCACAGGTGACCTCCCTCTGCGGATGACAGGCTGGGGTGCAATGGCTTGGCTGGCCTGGGCCTCTCTCTTTGAGGGCGGGGCCAGCCCTGTGAGGTCTGCCTACCTGATCGCCCCTAACCACTATGCCTGCCTGCCTGATCGCCCCTAACCACTCTGCCTGCCTGCCTGATCACCCCTAACCACTCTGCCTGCCTGCCTGATCGCCCCTAACTACTCTGTCTGCCTGCCTGATCACCCCTAACCACTATGCCTGCCTACCTGAACACTTCTAACTACTCTACCTGCCTGCCTGATTGCCCCTAACCACTCTGCCTGCCTGCCTGCCTGATTGCCCCTAACCACTCTGCCTGCCTGCCTGATTGCCCCTAACCACTCTGCCTGCCTGCCTGATTGCCCCTAACCTCTCTGCCTGATCACCCCTAACCACTCTGCCTGCCTGCCTGATCGCCCCTAACCTCTCTGCCTGATCACCCCTAACCACTCTGCCTGCCTGCCTGATCGCCCCTAACCACTCTGCCTGCCTGCCTGATTGCCCCTAACCGCTCTGCCTGCCTGCCTGCCTGCCTGATTGCCTCTAACCACTCTGCCTGCCTGCCTGATTGCCTCTAACCACTCTGTCTGCCTGCCTGATCGCCCCTAACTACTCTGCCTGCCTGATCGCCCCTAATCACTTGCTTGGGGGCAGGGCCAGCCCGGCAAGGGGCCGTCTGCCTAACTAATCTCCCCTAACACTTTCCTGCCCACTTGATCATCCCAAACTGCTGATCTACCTACCTGATCACCCCTAACCACTCTGCCTGCCTGCCTGATTGCCCCTTTTACTGCTTGCTTGGGGGTGGGGCCAGCACTGACATCTGGTTGGTCAGCCTCCGGTTGTTACTAGTCGGTGTGACCCAGGGTTTTTATATATTAGGATAATAAATAAATAAATAAATAAATGCATACATAAAAACGGACTGTGTTTTTATTCCTTAACCTCTGTGCCTCTGGCCTTGTTTCCAAAATGGGACTAAGACAGCCTCTGCCTCGGCGGGTGTGGGGGTTAGAGAGCACACAGTGAGGCAGCACTGCCCGGTGGGTCCACGTGGCTACTATCGGAGAACGAGGGGACCGAGGCCGAGGAGCAGGGGCTGAGCAGGAGGCACAGCAATGTCACCCCAAACGCAGGAATGCCAGCCACCCCCCTGTATGTGTGAGGAAACCAAGGCCCAGAGGGCCCCAGAGGCCCGGCTTTCCCCACCGAGAGTCCCCGAGGCCCCGAGCCGGCCCCCCGCCTCCCTCCCCCCTTCCCTGCCCCCCTCACACCCACTCGACTCCCCGAGAGACCCACCATGAACAGGGTCCCCCCAGGGAGCC